GAGAGAAAATAATTTCCACGCAGCGAAATAATTCAATAACGTATCTAGAAAACAGGTTTTTCAAGATATTTTCATGTTATCGTCCAGGCTTGTCTCCGATCTATTCTTTGTCTCTTGTTTCTCTGTTTTCGTCTAGGATTATCTCCGATATTCTTTCTTCTAAAGAAATCCAGCGTTCGTGGTGTAATGGTCAGCATGGATGCCTTCCAAGCATTCGACGGGGGTTCGATTCCCCCCGAACGCAATAATTTTAATGTTTTTCGGATCCATTTTCGTTGGTCCAGCGTATCTTTGCAACCATTATGAGGCCTTTCCTAGTGAGAGTTTGGAAATTTTCAGAGAATTTCACAAATTCGAAATGTGTCAAAAAAACTCCCATAATAACTTTTTTTTGACTAAAAAATTTTGAAACGATCCTGAGTTTTTTGAAATCATTTTCTTGTCAATTAATAATAAAAAAAAGACATAATTTATGGAAAACCTAGTGAACATGTGGAGAACCTATGGAAAAATTCACAACAACTGTCATAGATAGAAACCTTTTTCAAATTACCGCAAAAAATGTTGTTTGACGATAGCGGAAATCCAGCTATCGATAACCTTAAAAGTGACGACAAGGAAAAAACTTAGGATGACATTTTTAAACTAGTCACTCACTTAACATCTCAAATTTTTCTTTACTAAGTTCCTAATGGATTACACCGAATTCTGGATAATTAAACTAAGTAGGGTCTGGAGATCACAAAAAACTACAGAAAAAATTATGAAATGACCGGATTTTTTGAAGATGTTAAGTACCATGTAAATACTTAATTTTGGGGGAGACAAGGGAGAAGGAAAAATGGAGGGAACGAGAGAGGGAAAAAGTCAAAAAGAAAAACGATGATCATATTTAAGAAATCGAAAATCGAAGGTGAAGATGTGTCATAGAAGGCATTTTAAATTTGTCCTGAGCTTGATTCCATACAATCTTTTTATTCTACCTGAAAAAAATGCAGTAAGTAGTTGTTTTCATTTATTTCAGATGATCTATTACCATATACGAAGGTGGAGCCTCGTTATCTCTTAATGGACGGGATTCTGCAGACAATCCGCTATTGTGAGTTGTGGTTGTGTCGCTGCTTGCCTGAAACATTTCATACTCTTATCAAAATACGTTGGTTATTAAAAATTACTTGGTACACTGGCGGTGGTCCACTCGTAGTTCTTCTGGCTGGTCTGTTAGAAATTATAGCTGTGGTTTCTTCAATAGTCTGAGACGATTCGTATTTAAGTTTATTTTTTTACGGAAAGATACCTGGTACGGTAGTGGAAGGACACTGGAAACACGTCTGGAAGGAGCATTGTTTGGTCTACGGCTTCGAATTACTGTTGCACCACCGAGTCGAGTGACTATTCTGTTGAAATTCTGAAACCAAATTTTTACGAATCAAAAAAAAGTGGTATTACCTCGTAACTAGGGGGAGGAGACGATGGACTGCCCGTTGCTTCCTCATACGTCGGCAGGTGTGGAATCTGCAATATTCAAACCAACCATTTTTATGTTTAAAATTAATTTGCTTACCGTTTGGGGATGGTTTCCTCGGAAAAGAATGTGACACACTACTTCACAAATAGTGAAGAATCCCTCTCGAATAGGGTATTCGTTCAGGTAGAGGCCAATTATCAAATAATATTTACCGGCTGTATACAATAAAATGTTCCTATAAGTTTCACTTTGGAGATCGTGGCAGAGAAGAATCCCTGAGTCAAGGAAAATTCCTTTCGCTGTAAATTTTTATTTAACCTGGGCCGTGTTGGGGTATAAGCTTACCATCTAATATCAGAAGAGTCAAAATGGTAGCAGAATATAGCAGAAAGCATAGAACTGCGACAACATTATTAATTCGCAGAAAAAGCATGGTCCCGATTTTTTGGTAGGAAGCCAGGAAAAGGAAGCATCCCATAACAGCCAAAATGCCAATAATTGAGAGTAACATTATTTTCACGAGCGGTGCCTAGAATTTATAGATATATACCTTGTCGTTAGTTTTTAAGTTACTGATTCAGAAATGGTATCGAGCTTTTCCAACGTCTCGTTGAAAAAGGAGCAATTGCTGTTTGATGGCGGAGCGACTTCGGTTTTTATGAGATCTGTAAACAGCAATATTTCAAAGGGCAAAAATTGATGTTCTATTTTCAAATTTAAAAATTCACGTTGACCACATTGACTTACAAAATTCGATGAAGTGTAGGAAAGCTCCTACCATACCACCAATGAGATGTTTCGCATGAAGAATAAATTCGGCGGGCTCCATTACTAGAAGAACTCTTTATTTTAATAATTAAGGCACAAGTTTTCTAATACAGAGGAAAAGGTAGGGAAAAAGAAAAGGGGAAAACGAAAAAAGAGTTGAAAGTTCTTCGCACAGGCTGAACCACTGTTCAAATAAAAAAAGAATGCCTTCTTATTACCCGCCAGAAAAAAGAAAATAGAAGATGGCAGACAGTTCGAGTCAACTTTTGTGGCGGGACCCCACAAGTAAAAACATTTAAAACTACGTCTCTGTTAATACAGAGTAATGAAATGATGGTGTGAGGTGCATGGCGCAGCCCACCTATTAACATGAGTGTAAGAGGACATGATGTCACCTGAGCAAAGAAAAAGACAAGGAGACAGATAGAGATGGGTGATACCAGCCACGGCATGGTACTACGGAATAGTCATCAATGTGAATTGGTGTTGGGTTGGTGTTTTGTTTGCTTTTACAGTACTCGACAAAAAAGTTACAGTACTGGCTAAAAAGAAAGGTTAAATGCGTTGATGGGACTGTAACTTTCTTCAAAATAGAGCTAAAGTGTCAAAATTTTTTGTAACATGTAGCGAATAACCCTATAAAAGTATTCTAAAACATTTTTACCCAGAAAACGGGAAACAACTTTTTTGGCGACGAAATTCACGTTTTGGGAAATTTCGGATTTTTGGATTTTTTTAGTTTTCGAAAATCTGACGAGTGAATGCGTAAAATAAAGTTTGATCATGATTAAAAAAATCATTCACCGTCGTTTTCTATTTTTTCCAATTTTTTGAAAAAAAAAACCTCCAAAAACCCGAACTTTTCCGAAAAGTGAATTTTGTCGCCAAAAAGTTGTTTTTCGTTTTCTGGGTAAAAATGTTTTAGAGTATTTTTTCTAGGGTTATTTGCTACATTTTACAAAAAAGTTTGACACTCTAGCTCTATTTTAAAGAAAGTTCAAGTCAAAAATTCTGTTGAGTCAACAGTGTCGACGAATTCTTTTTGTCCAGTTTTGTAAACTCAAATTTGTTCATTGGGAGAAAGTCTAGTTTGCTGCCGTCATAAAATAAATTGTACATTTTCCGATTTTTCTGAAAACTTCAGATCTATGTCTGTCCCGATGAGGATCAGTTCACTTGTGAAAAGCTTTAAAAAATATTTAGATTAACGTACCCTTTAAGAAAGAAGCGACGAACCAGTGGAAACCTCGATCAAATCACACCGAACTTTCTGGTATCAAACATAATCAAAACTTCTATTTTGTAATTAGCTATTTTTTCGTGATTTTTTGACAAAGGCTATTATTCTTTCTTAGGACATCAGAATGAGCAATGAACAGAACTGTATTTTTAAGAGCTAAAAAAACAGAAAAATGAAGGTGAATGGCTTTAAAATTTATTGAAAATCACAAACAGGAATCATAAATAAAGCGGCAAAAATCAATGAAAGTATCAAATGGTTAGTTGTGTATCAAAGAAATGAGATGAACTGTATTACACGCAAAGTTTTTTTTGGATGAGAGATGAACGGAAAGAGAATGGGAACTATAGCGGTTGAAGAAGAGAAATGGACGTTTGGGAAGGAAAAAAGAACTGAATTGGAATTCACAAACAAGTTTGGGGAAATTCAAAATGACATAAAAAATGAAATGGTTTGGAAAGGGCAAGAAGGGTTGTTCAAGAAATCAGGAACGGTCAAGATGATGAGAATAGAAAAAAAATGAATATTAGAATGTGTGGATATCGAGATGTGATTTTTTCAAATTTTTTTAGAAAACAACAAAGCCCATAAAACTTGATTTTCAAGCTGTTGATTATGAACAATCAATAATCATCGACTGGCTCATATTCTTCAACATCGCTATCGTCATCATCATCTTGAGCAAGTCGCATTTCGGCAATCCCTATTCCTTCGATTTCAGCAAGTTGCCAGAAAAGAAAGTATCCTCTTTGTAAAGGATAATCACACAGCACGCTTCCGAGTAGAATGATTTTTGTCAAACCGAACAAAACCAAGTTTATTTTGAGCCTTCTTGAGATGTCGGGGCATTCTGATAGAATAGTATACTCTGTGAGAGATCCCCCGTCTGAAACAAAAACATTAAAACTTCAAAATCACTCTCTCATATTTCAATTCACCATACGATAAAAGTAGATAGGCCGTTTTGACGTATAGAATCAAACAGATGACGGACCCAATGTTGTAGCACTTCCAAAAGTTACGAGCCACGATTCGCCTCCACCATAGGCCATAGTAAGCAATGAGAGTGCAAGAACATAATACAGACATAGCAGAAAAAATCAGTAGTAGGTTTCCGTGCTGTAAGAAAATATTTTGTTAGAAAAATCTTTGAAATTTTTTTCATTACCAATTCGGCTAAAACTACAAGTTTTAGAATGACTTGCTTTCTCAAAGAGCAATTCGAATCAGCGGTAAGCTCCACATTTTTGTCGATGAAAACTGAAAATTTCATTATCAAAATTGAGAGTTTCCAAGGCGTTGCTCCAGCTTATCTTAGTTCAAAATACTCCGAAAAAAAAAGGAGGGCTCGAATTGAAACTATGTACAGACCAAACTTATAACGTGGTTAATTTTAACAACACCGTTGTAGACCAAAAAAAAACTGATTTCAGACCACAAACTGGATTCATGAAATTATTAGGTTGAACCGAAAGTTTCTTTCTTTTTCGACAACATTTTTGTTCAAATTTTTCTCGAAGCGGAAGGGGCTAGATCAATGAAAGTAACGTCCATGGGACAATTGTCTAGCAACGCTCCAATAATTTCTTGATTCCATCGGCCTAGTACGACGAGGGCTGCGATTGAAAATGAGGGCCAACTCCTTTTTTTTGTCATCTTTTCTATTGAAGTCATTTCTATCAAGATGACGTCTAAGAGCTTCAAACAACCATTCATTCGAAAGGGCATTAGCCGCAAAATACAATGAGTGCAAAAGAATAGTTGAGCCAAACGATATGAATTTTTGGCTGGTCCCTCTAGTCACTGGCGATCTCGCATTGTCGCGCAGGAAGCGTACTTTGGTTTTTTCTCCTTGTTTTGATTCGACTGTCAAGTTCAATTTCTCTAATTAGGAACTCTATAGGGCGGCGATTTTAGTGGTACTTTCATATAAAAGTTCGCAGTTTCCATTTTTTTTGAAAAACCATCAGATTCATAGCATCCCCCTTTCACGTAAAATTTAGATTGCGGGATGCCCAGAGCTAGCTGTTCTTTTCCAATCAAGTCACCTTTCCGCACGTGGTTAGAGTAACTTACACACTTCTCATCTACGGTAATTAGATCCCCCACCCAACTGAACGTGTGAAGAAATGATAGGAGAAGCATGCTCATGCCCACATGAAAAACCATATTGTAGTCCCTCAAAGCATAGGATACGAATCGACCCAGTTCTTGAAGTTTCCAAGATACTTCAATCCGTTTAGAATACTTGGCTGATTAACGGATAATGCTTTTGACATTTTACGAGTGGTTTAAAATGGATCCGCCTTCCTGACCTTTAGCAATTGATTGAGATCCAACTCACTGGGTCGTTGGCATCTTTCAATCGGATATCCCCTGTGCGAAATTTGTTGAACAGAAGGCTAATTGCAGGCAATGCCCGAACATGTCCCTCATATACATTCACCAAATGTGAATACCGGGTATTTCAAGACCAAATAAAAATAAAAATATAATCATGTCTGGTATGTGCAGTCGGGTAAGGCCCGAAAGAATTGTCATTTCTCCAACACGAAGTGAGATAAAAATTTAATAACCTGCGATCTAATAGACACTGAACACATCTCTCGAAAAAAAAAACAAAAATTTGGCCTGGTACACCACTTTGAGATCCAGAAATTAAGCCTCCAAAACAACACTGCGACAAAGAAAGAAACTTTCGGTTCAGCCTAATAGTTTTAAAAGTTTTTCAATTAAATTTATCGAACAAATAACCGTGGAGGTTTTCTGAAAAGTTCTTTAGGTTTGAAGGTTTTCTGGAAGGTTTTGATATGATTCTTGGATTTCTGAAGATCCAATACCATTTTTTGTTTGTGAAATCATGTTTTGTACAAAGTCCCCAAATTCACGACCGACTGGAAAAAAATCAGAAAAACTCACAGGTTGCATAAAAACATGTCATCGATCCCAAAAAGCTGATAATAAGCGGAGTAAGGCTCACGACACGTCGAACTTCATCCATATCTGAAAAATTCAAAAATCGATAAATCTTTGAAACATTGTTTTTTCAAAATTGAGGAAAGATAACCAAAGTAGTCGGTAAATTTTCAATCTGGCGCGAACCTGCTTCGCTCTCTTTTACACTATTCAACATTGGAAAATTAGTTTTGTTCTAGAAAAGCATATCAACATTTCAAATTGTGTTTGAAGCCTGCTAAACCCATTGAATTCGCTATCTTTTTTGTAATTTTTTCCTCTTCTTTTCCGCACATTGTCAACAAAAAAATACTAGTTTTAAACTGCCTAAAAGTTTTTGGTGGTAATATTTTTGGTCTGACCCACAATGAGCAAACCGTTTATCAAAATATTGAGAATGGAAAATATATTTTTTCAATTTATGCCAGAAAAGTGAAAACGGGGTCACTGAACCGCCGTAGCCGCGCCAGCTTGGTGGAGAACCCGCTTTGGTCGTGATATTTTTTACGGAAACGTATGTGGAATGACAGAGAAAGTAGAGAGAAGGTATAGAGAGAGAGAGTTTTTTTTCCAGTTCCATCTATATCTGTATATTCTTGAATTTTCCTTCTCGATAAAAGTGAATTGTTAGAAAATTTTTTAAACTTTTGAGCATTTTTTAAAAAATTATTTCGAGTTCATAAATTCTTAAATTTGTAGTTTGAAATATTCATTTCTTTTCTAAGAACAATTGCATAGATACATCAAATTACGAGAAAACAGAAATGCGCGCCGCGGGATTGCAAAACTCGCACGTTGCGGCTGCGAGAGTGTTTTTTGTGCACCAATACGTTGTGGCAGTTATTTATTTAATTTGACCACAGTCAAAACAACAAGATAACAAAATATAAAACTTTTTCGAATTAAAAAAATAAAATAATTGTTCGGCAGAGAAAAAGATGGGGAGGCATAGAAAGAAAAAATGGAGAGATAGAGAGGAAAGATAGATGTTTCACCGGCTGTGTGTTAGGAAGAGGAGAAAAAGAAATAGAGAAAGAAACAGAAAAAATGCATGGCATTCAACTGCTGTGAGCCGGAAAGAAGCGAGCACTGGTGGTGGTGATGAAAATGGGGTGAAGACACGAAACAAATGATTCGACTGGCGGAGAAAAAAGGAAAGAAAGCAGAATTGTTCATACAAGAACAGCAAATGAGATATTGATCAGCAACTGTCTGCCATTGTAGGGGCACTGCCGACGTATTCAAAACCTGGATCGCAAATGTCGTCTTCTTGATCGCTGGAACCAATTGACTCGTTATCGACAATGTCATTATCACAGTTCTGAACAATCACTTCGTAATCTTGAACTTCCGGGATGTATAAATCGTCGTCTTCCTGAAAAATACGAATTTCTCAAAGTTGAATAAATGTGTCAAGTCTATAAATCGGTGTACAATCGCAACTCAGAAGAGCTCGGACGCCAAAGTAATTTGGCAGGTAGTTTGGAGCTCACATTCGCACAACCTTTATAAAAGGCGTCCGGCAATTAAGGCAGGTAGCGGTAAAAATTTTCTTAATGACGCGCCTCCCTAGTGAATGCCACTGGGTATGTTTTTTTTTTAATTCAAAATTTGTACTTCACGCGCAATTTATATGGCGCCGCGCTTTTTGAACTGGAGAGGTCGTGCTGGACATACTTATTTTGTCAAATATAAACTCACCCAAACCGTCAACATTAAGCTTGATTATCACACTTTTTGTGAAAATATCAAAAACTTGTCAACTAAATTGTTGACCATAATATCACCAGAATTTTAAAAGATGACTAAATTTTGATATCTTTAACTCAAATCGAGATACCATTGAGCTCAATATTAACGATTTAGGTCGGCTTATATTAGAGAAATACGGCTTTTAACATCTACTGATAAATCGAATGAGTTGAAAATTTCATGAAACTTCTTTTCCTTGAAAACAAATTTGAAAACTCTACCTGTTCTCCGTCCATTTCTGGGATGTTGTTGATCCATTTTTGGATTCGTCTCTTTTGTTCCTTGTTAAGCTCTTTTATTCCCATTTCCAACGGCGATTTGTAAACCATTTCAATGGAGCTTGAGGTGACCCAGACTTTGACCTGAATGAGGCGAATTTATGTGTTTAAAACGATTAAATTTGATACCTTTTTTGCCGGCGAACAGCACCGAAAAAGTGTGCGGATCAGTCCGAATAACATTTCGAAAAACTTCCTCGGTATATGTATTAGTTATTCAATAAAAGCTGTAGTGAGAATCAGAAGGGTCTTATCCACAATGAATGATAATTTGAATAATCAGCACAAGTGAATGAGTTTTCGTGATTTCAAAAACAACTAGATTTTTCTGAGCTTTAATTAGTGTAGCCAACAGAAAAGTGGAGAGGTGAAATGCGTGGAGACGGCCACTCAGGGGATTCTAATGAATGATCAGATTGGATTCATAAAATGGGAGGGATCTTGCAAAGAGAAAAATGGAGAAATGCACTATTCGAAATTGGAAGGATAGGAACAGATGTTCCATGATAGTACAGGGAAAAATGTGTGGCCGATCGAATGAAAAGTAATTAAAAATTATGAGGCCAACTATATTGAAACAACGAGCAGGGTCGCATTAAAACGATAAATGACATCATTCTATCTGAAACTATATTTTTAGAAGTGCAGGGATTGAGAAGATAGTTACACAGTTTTTTTTCAAGAAAAGGAAAAGTTCGTAAAAGTCCTTCGAGGAGTTAATCTTATAGACCTAACCATGAAGATGCAGCTTTGCTACCAGCTGAGGGACAGTGGCGGCACATTAGCCGTGCGCGCTGTGTGAACCAATCACCGACTCAGTCACGTCAGAATGCATACCAAAACTTCAAAAAACCTTAAGAATTGTCTTGTTTTCCCTTCTTTTATATTAAATCGTATTCTGAACATGAGACATTTTTTGTTTTACAAAATTCCAAAAGGATAAATCATTTGAATCGTCTGATAGGTATTTTAAATGGGCCTTTTTGTCAATTTTGTATATTTTACCATTTCCTGGTCTTTTGAGAACATGATGAGCACCAAGAAATGCCCTCGATATTTTAATGACCACCAGTCTCGTTTTTCCAATAAAATCATAGTGCACCGGCCTCATAATTTTTAATTGCAACTCGTTCGACCGGCCTCACATTTTTTTTCCCTGTGAACTGGAACATTTGAGATCACATGAAACATGATATTGTTCTTTTTCTAGATTCCAACTATTTTCAGTAAGATCAAATATTTCAGCTCCCGTAATTGTCCGTAGAGTAACCCTTTCAACTTTCAACATTGAGCCTATGTATTTCGGATTTTGTGAAAAGTACCAGAAAGTCGTTAACTGAGCAAATATTATTGATATCATTATACACATTTTGTCAGTTGACCATTTTTCGATATATTTTACACGAAATGAGATTTATGAACTCAAAGTTGGCAGTTAGGAGAGCGTTCTTCTTGAGCTTTCACGGTTACCCTCAAGTTAGAATTTTATTTTAGCACAAAACAGAAGATATGATCGGAACTTTATTACTCAAATCACTAGGGAATTTCACATTTTTCGGAAATATTGTCAAATCAAATACTTAATTCAAAACTCTAAGCACTTAGATGAGTTCAACGGGTGGGAAGTTCCTCCAACTGATGTACTTCAGCTGCTTCTTCAGTTTTTTGAGGTTGATTTTGTTCCTGACCAAGGCCAAACATGCAGATCAGTACGCTATTTACAAAAGCAAATGTGATAAAATAGAATGTGATCACTCCTTCAAGTCCTCGAAACACGTACGATACAAGCAGCGCGGAATAAGCTTTTTCTTGGCTCTCGTCAAGGTGACACACTTTCTGAGTGACAGCGTAGATGAAGTCCAATGGAGTGTCTGGAAATTTACTATTTTTGTGCTAGTGACCGTTTCAAACTCACTTCTATTGAACTGTGATGAAGCATGAACAAGGGAAGAGCCTAAGAAGAACAAACGCGCTGCGCAAAGGATAGTTATTAGATAGTGGATATTTGGGTACGAGGTTGTGATTCTGAAACAATTTTTTGAACACCCTAGTGTAGATTTATGGTCTAACTCACAGTAAAATAAAGCAAGGAATTGTTAAAATTATACTCAAAATCATATCAATATCACGGAATGATCCAAGAATAGTTGAAACCTCTGATGGATCTTTTGGGTAGCAATATGCCGACTGCCCTGGTGGAAAAACGATTTTTGGGTAAATATCTGAAATTTAACTATAATTCAAAATTGGATTGCATTTATACAAACATTCGATGAAGGCTTCCATTCCGTAGCAGAAAACAATTGTAGTTGAAAGACTAAAAAGAATAAGTCGCAGTACCCATTGTAGCTCGGCAACCGTGAGCATAGTGACTGAGATGGAAGATTGCGAATGGAACAAGTACAATCTCTGAAAATGGACCTATTTCGTGATAACAAAGAAAGGTTTTTCTGGACCTAAAAATGAAAAAAAATAAACGGAAAGCGACAGAAAATGATTTTTTTCCTCCAAAAAAGGATGAAGCTGCTCAAGTTTCCATAGTTCCGAGATATTTGAAATGCCCATTCAAAAAAAAACATAAAAACATAAGAGTGATGAATGTGACTTTGGTGGATTTGTTTCTGTGGAACTTTATTAGTGACGTGGTGTAGAAAAAAAACTAAAACTTTTGAATTGCTGTATGTTAATGTTAGTGAAAAACTTTCAAATTTAAACTTGAATGAAACAGGAAGATTTTGATTCATCTAGTGTTTGAAATCGTGAATAGAACACTGCTTTAGAGGGATGAAATCTCAAGAAATATAGGGATGAAATCTCATGAAATTGTGCAAAAAGAAAAGAAAGTGACTGCTCATTTCGACGATGAGTAGAAAATGGAGAGAAAAAAAGTTCAAGAAAAAAAGGGAATATGCTCGTATCGCCCCCTATACACTACTACAAATAATGTGACTACAATTGCCTGACACCCACTCATCCCATTTCACGAGATGAACTTTAACCCAAAAATTCTGCAGCTACGATTTTCATGACATTAACTTAATCTTATTAAAAAATGACTTCCACTATAAGAGCACACGTCAGTTTCCCATTTTTTGTTGAAGGGTCGAGTAATGGAAGAAAATGGGGAAAAGAACAGAAAAAATGAGAATCCAAGACCACATTTCCATCTGAAACAAAAAAAATCATGCATTCATTCGATTGAGGCAAGGCGTTTGATTAAGGGCACCGGGAAGTATTTTTGTTTGCAGCTGTTGCTCCGAACATCTGAAGTTATCGGAGTAGCTGAAAATCAGTGACCAAATGAGAACTGTGTTCTGAGTTCTGGAGTTGATGTTTATTAGGAAAAACTTTGAGTAACACGACAATATTTATTGAAAAGACACGTTCACAGAGAAAGATGAATTTTATCCTTATACCGTGTAATAAAAAGGCTCTCCGGAGAAACCTTAGAACAATAGAAGATCCGGCCTGTTTGATACATGTCTTACGGTAGCTGAATGAAAGTGGGTTCAATTCTAATCACTTTATCATTTTGAAGTTGTTTTTTTTCTGTTTGCCGTGAAACTAAATTTTCAGATGCACAAACCTGTCAGCTGCGTTTGGCCACCACCGTGAAATCAACAAGAGCCCTCTAATCGACATTGACCTCGGTTCCTCGGAAAGATATAAAATAACGAAATACTTCTCACAATGAGGAAAAATTTTCCCAGTCGATTAATTTTAGTGATATTTCAGCCAAACCAGTATAAATTGCATCAAAGCTAACAAGTAGAAAATTTCTCCAGTACAGGTTTTACGGAGAATCCCGGAGGGGTATAATCATTTTTTTCTAATTTTTTAAAATTGTCTTTTGGCAATACGTATATCTTTTTTCCATTTAAACATTTTCTCAAAAACAGCCAAGTCCCATATTTTTCATTTTATGAAAGCAAGCTTTTTAAATGTTCAGTATACTTTTTAATGCCCAAAAAATGAATCCCCGTCATTTTCAACTTTCTGAAAGTTTATTTTTATTTTTTCTTAACCCAAAGGTGATGTTAATGTTTCCAAATATTTATTTCAAAAAAAGCAAGAAAAAAACCAAATAAATAAGAAGCAGAAAATAAGAAAAGACTAGAAGCAAACACACGTAAGATGAATTTTTTTCTGTTCATACAGTTTTTGAGAGAAATTAAAAACGATAATGGAAGAAAACCGATCAAACGAAGCTGTCCTTCTCGATGTCGTCATCCAGCACAATTCGGTCTCCCAACATCTTTGACTGGGAGGAACAAACTCGGATACTCGCTCGGAATCTGAAAATCTTGAATTAATGACACTGTCTCGATTTGGTTGATGCGATGTACTTACCCTTTTGGAGAAGAGCTGTTTTCCTTGGCAATACTTTGCCGCCCTGTGGTCAAAAGAGTTGCATCATCGTTATAAACAGAGTCTTGTCTGAAACAAAAATTGGATTAAAAATATATGTTTTCAATAGAGATTACCTGTGATGAGCAATTGAGGAAACATCGTGTTGGAACCTTCCTGCCGGTTGGTTCTTAGTTTCGCATCTTAGGTAGCGATAGTAGATATCAGAGAACTCGTGGCGGAAGTTGGTGTTCAGGTATCCGTAGAGAATCGGGTTGACACAAATCGAAAGCATCGATACCATTTTGCATGTTTGGTCAATTCGTTCCACCAAGTTCACGTATTCTTGCTGAAAATAGAATTTTTTGTGTTTTCATTATGCCTACTTAATTCTGTTTTGGCGTGCAAAAGAAGTAAAAAGAAAACATTTGCTCACTAATTGACTATAACAAAAACCGAAAAATTCTTACATTGTTAACGAGCTCAAAGTCGATGAGGAAGGTGATAAGAGTGAATGGGAACCAAAGAGCAGCGTAGCTTCCGGCCATTGCAATCAAAAGTGAAGTTGTTCTGCTGGTCCTTTTGTTTGTTGTGTTTCTCTCCACAATCGAGTTCCTGTTGGTTGAAATTGTCGGTGACCGAAGGGTGGAGTTATTGTTGTTGTTGTTTTTCAATGAGTTTTGTTGACTGTCAGATGACTTTGGTGGAGCACGAGTCTTGCTCATTTTGTTGGCATTGGTTTTCAAGAAACGAGTAAGTTTTACATTGAAGATAGAGAGAACGAAAAGTGGAACGATGTACAAGAACACCACTTGAAGAATCGACATGAGCAGTTGAATGCTCTGAGTGATGTCTGGAAGTCTTCCAGCAGATACTAAACGACACTGTCTCCAACCATAGCTTCTGATGACTTCCTGTCCTGTTTGATCCATCACTCGTATTTCCTAGAATTCAAATGTTCTTCAGTTTTGATATTATATTTCGTTACTCACTCTCATCACATAGAGCATTGAAGTCTCGTAGTAGAGAAGAAGTGGCAGTGATAGAATGAATGAGACAATCCAGATAGCTACCGAAACCAAAATAGCGTGCAGGCACTGCTTACGGTTTGATGCGATTTTCAGCTTCTTCACTGAGTAGTATCTGAAATTTTGAATGTCGATCCTTGTTGGTTCAAAGACCAGAACACTCCGAATCTCAAGTGGTTCTGATGAATATTTGGTGCATTTGCGAAACCAAACTTTGGTTCTAGTCATTCAGAGAAGAATTAAAAGTAAGATGTGTTTTGATTAGGTGAGCAGGGCACTGAATGATCAAAGATGTAACATACCTATCAATAGCCATAACTGAAATGGTCAGTGTAGAGCAGTAGATGTTACTTCCTGGTAGCACATTTGCGAATTTGCAGAAGAATCGAGAGTACGGAAATTCAAAGTCAATCGACGGAAGCCAGAGGAACGGAATATTGGTGATAGCGAGAATCTGGAAATCAAGGAAATTTAAGGATTACAGGAATGTTGTCAACAACCGGAAACAGATTTTTTTAAGGTTACGAAAATTAAACTCACCAAGTTGGATAATGCAAGATTGAGAATCAAAACATTTCGGTTCGTTCTCATTGCCTTCTTTCTGATAACTGCCAGAATCACCAAACCATTTCCGACTACTGCGGTCACGGAAATTATGATGTAGACTGTGGTATACAGAACTTCTTCCCAAGAACTGAACCTCCGTAGTGATCCTTGGAGTTGGAAAAAGAATTCCTGACAAAAGAATAATCAAATTCTGAAATATGACTAACAAAAAACCTGTAGACAGAGTCCGTCGAATGGAGCAGTAAGGAAATTAGATGCATTTGGGTGGATGCCTCGGTTACAGTACTTGTCTATATCCTTGACCTCCATTATCATACCCTGGAATATTATTTGGTTTAATGTAAATTTGTCCTCATCAAATGGATAAAAGTGTTAATAAATGTGGGGGAAACAAATTGACCGGAGATTAGTAAGAATGAATTGATGACAGATAATACTTTGACGAAAATTTTTTAATCCTGAATTAGGTCACCACCCCCTACTCAAACTAAGATGACTCTATCTCGAAATCACTCTATCTTTGAAGACTTCAGAGGAAGAAAAAGGGAAGACCGGATACAGAACAGATGTAACACATGTAAACTAAAAGTGGTTTAGCCTTAGATTTGAAAACAGAAGAGGAAAAAGGAAATAAGAAGAAAAAGAGCAAGTCGCGACGACGGCGGTGGTGCTAATACAATAAGGAAACGTAGAGGAGTGATGTGGTGGGTTTCGGCTGGAATAATCTTGAAAGAGCTAAGCTTCCCTCTTATCCGTACATTCAATTTATTCTAACGTACTGAGAAAAGGAAGGGGGGGGGGGGGGGGGGGGAGTGAAGCGGGTTTGATTTTGTGGTTAAAAAAATAGGGCGCTTTTTTCTTTTTAATTTCCGCTTTTGGCGGAAAAAACGAAGGGTGATGCGAGAGTTCTGTTGTGATTTTCATTCCTCATTCTTTGACTTCTTCTTTAAAAATTTGGGTAATGTGAGAAACATTGGAAAAACGTGGGGGTGTTGTTAGGGCAGGGTCTGACTCGGAAAATATACTTGTTTGAGGATTAGTACAAAGATTGGTATGTTTCAATTTGGACAAGAATTGACATTGGCAATTATTTCTCTCATTCTTCCAAACTTCAGGAACACTTCAAATTGTTTTTGTTTTTACTCTTATACTTAAACTTTAAATCTAACCAGTTTGTATTCTGATGTCTCTATCTAATAATTCTCAGCCTAAGAAAACTGTGACTAAAATGAAAACGCTCCTTCATGAATGTTTGTAGTCGTCGTAGTAAACAGCTAACGAAGACAACGGTTTGCAGGTGTTTATGAAAAGGTTAACGACTGAATATTTTCAGGAATTTTTTTTAAAATTGCAGCCATTGGAATTTACATACTCGGTGTTTGATCAAAGTTTCTTTGTTGCAAAATCAATGACGCTTTGATATATTAAATATTTTTGACATTTTTGATCCAAATGATTTCTTAGAGAAATGATCAAGTTTTCAAAAAAAAAAAACGGTCAGTTTGGTCTGCATCTTTCTCTCGTTTCTCATTTTTCTCACGAGAAACAGATATGAGAATATATAAATACTGGTAAACTTTGATGATATGAATAATTTATTATGGAGAAAACGAATGAGATGATAGAAATAAATTTGTTGAGTCAGTTGGTTCAGAGAAAAGATATCACTGAAAAAGGGTGCCAAGGTTTTTCGAGCTCTAGAATTATTTGGCGCTGCAGAAAAGGTCATAAAGAGGCTGCGCAGAAAAACAATGGTGATTCTCGGTCAGATAGAATCCAAATTCTGGGAACTTTTTCGCATGTAAGGGTGGGATCGAAATTAAAACTTGTTGATTCTTCTTCAGACAAATAAAATCGCTTTTTTGCCATTCTCAAATTTAATGCGAATAAATCTTGATAGTAATCCACGATTCCGGGAACAAATATTAGAAAATCATCATGTATAAAAACTTAAAAATTTTGATCTGAAAAGAAGAAAAAAAAATGCGTTTGAATGTGTGTTGAATGTCAGAATCAACTATAGTCGAAAGAAAAAAAAGTTCAGGTGATAAAATTTCTATTTCGAATGCCAGTAAATGTTGGTAATTACACGTATTCACCATTGGGCTTTAGCCAGATAATTTGATGTTTCAGGCACTTTTTCTAGCATAATCCGAACTTTTCAGAACATCTGATCACCAAATATTTCCAAAGAATTTTTTTCAAAAATCGTTAAGAACCATTGTAACTCTTCTATTTTTGAGGTACAGAAATAGGCGAAGAGATTAATAGTAAGAAGATTATAACAAAGAACAAGAGAATACAAAGAAAAGTGATGGAAAAACTAATATGTCTTATCTAGAGTAGATAAAAGACTCGATTTTCAAGAAAATGGAAAATGTATTTCCAGAAACCAGCTACCAGCATCTGCATATTTTCCAAAAAAAACCTCCTAAGGAAATGAAGATTTTAGAGAAAGAAATACCTTTCTCTTCGACCCATAAATCCGGGCAGGATCGACAATTCCCAATACGCCATTCAAAATTAAATGGTGGCATGCGATGCTTGAAATTGAATTGCTGAATTCATGTTTGAGCCGAAATGAACAGCTCCTCTCGCTCTTCAAACGGAACGGAGCGAAGCGGTGAGACCAAAAACAAAACAAAAATAAAACGATAGAGTTCAGAAAGAAGAACCCACACGGTTGGCCGGGTAAAAAGTTTTATTTTCACACTTTTCAGGAAAAAAAATTTTGTTCATTCGATGGGATGACTCCCTTAGGACTAAAATGCTGAGAAAAAGTTTAAGATTCATATGAAGAATACCGGAGCATAAAAAAAGTAGAAGTGTTTGGACTACGTGGGTTTCCAGTATTGTTTCGTTGTTTTCGGAGGGATATGTTTTTCGAGCCCCATGGGTTTTCGGAACGACCAAAATATGAACTTTACCAAAGGAGCGAGAAGTAGTACGAGAGAAAAAGATAGAATTCGAAACGTGTTTGATCAGTTTTCAAAAACCTTGTCCTTGGTTTGTCTAGAGGAACATTCTCAGAATAAGAGGTTGAAAATGCGTGCAAATTTCGAGAAGAGAAAATTGAACAAACTTTAAATTAAATTCAGTCTACTGTAAGACCACTCGTAAAAAAACTGTGGAATGATCACAGAGGCCGAAAAGAAACCTAATGTAGTAAACATATTTGCAACAGGTCAGGCTGGGCTTTTTCCAGAGTTTTCAAGGACTTAGTTTTCAGTGATTTGTTTTCTGTCTTTTCAAAAAAAAACCTATGGGGTTCATAGAAGAAAACACAAATTTTCTGTCAAATAAAAAGTTAGCCGAGAAGGGAGTGTCACTAATTTTTTTTTCACAAAAAAATCAAACACTTTTTTCAATTTCAGAATTATTTTCAAATGTGGAAAGCTTGAGCCTTGTCAAAAGAGTTGCGCAACAAAGACTTATTGTTCAAATATGGTTCTAAATACGATTTGAAACATAAAAAATTATCCTCAAGATATTTAGAAATTGGACTAGTTTCTGTTTCTTTCAATTTTTTCTACACGAAGTGCATGAGAAGTATTGAAACCATAGTGCTTCTCAATCATGTATGAATGAAATAGAAGCATTTTTCTTTGTTTCCAGAAGCAACCAAAATTGTTTCACTCCATCTAGCGCACCCCACAGTCACAATACTTTTTTGGAGACCAAAAAAAGAAACTGCGTGAAATGATGAAGTGCTCGCGTGCTGTCGGTCGGCGGATATAGATCATCAGTTATCCATGGGTTGAAAAATGTCTTTAGACTCATCAAACTGACGAACAGCTGCATAATGAGTCTGGTTCGCAAAGAGATATGAAACGTTCTTCTTTTCAGATAAAGTTCTCAAATTTCAGAAAAAGTCCAACGAACAAAACACAACAAGAAAATACATCCAAAATTTCACTCTTTAATATTGGAACTAACCGGATGTCAACTGGATTTCCGATTTTCAAGAAGACCTAGCCGAGAACAAAACAAATGCTGTCATCATGCACCAGCTTCAATTTTGATATCTTTCTTTGAGTCATACACCCAATTACAAAGGAGAACATAAACACATACAACGCCTAATTAGTGCCGAAAAGTGACACAAGCTATGATCGTTAGATTTCACTTGTGGGAACGAGAAAAAATTGAAACAAATGTGCAGACACAACTAGGAGAAAGAGAGAGGGATATGATGTTTCCGGTGAAAACACCTGCGTTTAACCTAGGATTCTTTTTTTAGGGCGTTTTCAGTTTATTTTAGGCTTGGAATTGATCATTGTTTCTACATTTTTAGATTACGCCATTTCAGCTGGATAGAATGGCTCAAAATGGAATTGTGAATTTTAAGAACAAAACAAAAGGTGAATGCAAAAGTGCTGGTTCAGAAGTATATGTGAGGAATTTCGGGTCCCCTTTTTTTTCGGTTTTCTAGAGAAAAAATACATTATTATAGGAAAGAGAAGCTGCACTTTCTTCTCATCTCATTACCTCACCCCGAAGTTTTTTCTCTCAACTGAAACACAAAAAGATATATGTGTTGCATTTGAAATTCAACGAAAATATGCCTAACCATAAAAATGGGTCCATGATAGAGATAGGCAAGATGAGAAAGTTGCATCTTACGAAAAAGAGGAAGTGAAACGTTGGAAAACAAAAGTGTAGGGTGGAGCTGAAGCAACACTACGACATAAAAAAAAAATCAGAGCTGAATAGTAAAAAGAAGAGGATGTTGATGATGAGAACGGAAATTAGAGAAAAACCAAGAAAGGGACATAATACAAAGGCGTGGAGTCTAGGAGAAGTACAAGAATCTATAAAAACCAATTCTTGAAAGATAGATGATGGCTGAATGTTCTTGAGCTGAAACTGAAACATTATCTATTTCTGACACCGCAGACTCCCCCACAAAATGCTCATGTATATTTCATGACATACCACTGAGGTTCCTTTTTATTCACCATCTAAAACCCAATCCTTGTTTTTACAGTGAACACAAAAATACAAATCAAAAGTTACAAACTATACCAGTTATTTAACAAAGAAAAACAATACTAAATGAAAAAATGGAAGGTATCAATTTTGCAATATAGAAGAAAATAATCTGACGGTTTTTCTTGAAACGAGAAATACAATTGCTTATTTCAAGGAAACTGGAAAGAAGAAAGACAATATTGCTCATTAGTCTATCATAATAAATTTGGGATAACATGTGACAGAAATCTCTAGGTGACTACTTGTAAGAAATCCACACATGGATAACTGGAAAAATACATTGATACGAAAAAATAGTATTGTATCTTGTCAAAACTAAGATACTGCTTTAACTCGGAAAACGGGGACGGAATAAAAAAAATTGAAGACAGAAATTGTTACAACAGATCACTCATATTATTCGTAAAAGAACTACCGTAATCCTCTAACAGAAACGCACTTGCAAAAATGTCCGAGATGAATTGCAAACAAAGAGAATCCGAGATTCGGAATAAAAATATTCAGTGAACCCGGAACGAAAATTTGCGGAATGCGGAAACTGGATAAATCTAATGTATAAGATATATTTTTGAAAAATTGACTTCTGGTGAAAGAGTGTGTTATTTTTTTCAAGTCGGGAGTGTTGATTTCGTTACTGGAAATTCTTGAAAAATGATAAAATGCAAAATGCAAGCCAAAATACGTGATATGGAATCCGGATTCCGGAGATATCTGATTCCATAATAAAAAAACGACTTTAACTTTTAGTAATTGTTTGTTGTTCATTATATGGAAAATTTTGCCAACTTCCTTAGTGTTATGAACCAAAAGTTTTTTTAAATCCCCCTTGCATTTTTAATTGCTCAAGGTGAGACAAAAGAGTTGAAGTTCATTTTCAGAGAAATTTGGAGAAATTTTAATCACAGTTCTTCAATTGCAGTATTCACTGTAAACTGAACTTGTTCTTCGGAATTTGTGAAAAACTGCTAATTTATATTTTCGACTAATACTAGAGCGAAATTGCACTTCTCAAAAAAACAGTACTCTAAAAGTGAATGCAGTTCACTTCCTGCTTTTTAGGGTCCTCACGCCTTGAAGAAAAGTTGAAATCCTCTTTCTAAGATTAGAAATTTCCATTTAGATTACCTTTTAACGGAATGAACCTAACAATGCAATCAAATCAACAGAAGAATGCGTAGGACCATAAAATCCTATCCGGCTTTTCAATCTGAGAAAGTACTTTGCCGACTAATGAAACGACGTATTCAAAAAACAGAAAAAAAAATGGTTGAGAAAAAAATTAGGAAAATATAAAAGATGATGCTAGGGAGGAGAAGATGGGGGAGGAAGAAGGCTTGGTTTGTCTTCAGAAAACCACGTATTTTTCGTATTACTACTACAAAAATTTTGAAGATAAAAATGGATTTGCTTTCTTGGAAAATATTTAATAACAATCAGAAAACCTAGATAATGATTTGAAACAAAAGAATTACGTTGCAAGAAAAATAAGGGTCTACATGTCGCGGGCCGGGCCGGCCGTTGGAGGAATTACACTGGCCCGGCCCGGCTGGCACAGGTGTTTGAGATAAAAATGTAATTTTTTGATAGAAAACTGAATTTTTGGGAACATTTCATCGAAACTTCTTTGTTTTCAACTTCTATAAGGGTCAACTTCTATAAGGGGCTAAATTTCGAACTTTAATATGATCAATTTGACAAAAATGTTTCGAAAATCAACTGGAAAACGGAATTATTCGGAAACCCGGGCCGGGTCGGAAAAACTTTTCTCTGGCCAAAAGAAAAATCTAAAAAATTTGAATTTAAGAAAATCTGAATTCAGTAATAATTTCTCAAATTTGAAATATTCACTTGAAATTCGCTACAGTATACAGAACAAATTGAGCTAAAATTAAAACTTTTTCTAATCCTATTTTTATAACTTATTATCAGCTAATTTTTATTCTTCTACAGAAATAAGGATGACGGGAAAATCTGAAAAAAAGACACACATTCTGTTCTTGTTAGTTTTTTTTCTTAGCAAGAAGGAACAGAATGTTCATCTCTCTTCATATTTCATTTTGTTTTGTTTTTGTGAGTCTGAAGAAACTAAATATTCCGAGAAAGTATTGCAAAAATAGAATAAGGTATTTCTTGATGTTCTTGTTCGGAAAATTGGGAAAAGTAGAACATTATTTAAAAAAGTGTTTGGTATACTTTCTTTCCGGTTTTGTTAGGAAATTTGAAATTCACGTTGTTTTGAAGCCGGTCTGAACAAATAAATACGTAAAATAACAGAACATGATATGTCTAGTATTGGTTGTTTTTTATCGTAGAAAAAAAAACCAGTAGTGTTGAAGTATCTAACTGGAATAAACGTTTGCCATCTACAAACATTTATAATGAGCAAAAACAAAAGAAGAATAAAAATATATATCCTACTTCGTACCATTTTCAGATGCAAAACAAAAGTTCTGTCTGAAAATAAACTGTTTTTCTCATTTCTTTTGTACTAGGGATATATGCTTGTGCTCACCGTCATAATTGCTTTACTTATACTCTCAATCTAAATTTCATTCACTCTATATCTGTTTTCCATTGTTTCCCCTATCTAAATATCATTGTTTCTCCCACAGACTCACCAGGTCCTCTATATCGC